ATCTTCGCGATCCCCCCGGACTGGTTGCGCATCCTGCGGAAGGGACCCAAGTTGAAGACAGGGGACTGGGTAATGGTCCCCGGAGATCCAGAGAGTGTGGGAAAGGTTGTGGAAACACGCACGAAAGAATTGCTGATCAGTCTTTTTCACAAAGAGAATGACAACAGATTAACTAAACGGGCCCCGGACGCGCCGAGATGGTGCCCAAACTCTGATCTGTATAGAATCCAGGATCTGGGTGACAAGGACTGCAAAGCATACCAGCCGGGGACCTGCATCGCGGACCTCCCCTTCGATCCGGAGGAGTGGCAATGGCCCTCCACGCGCAGAACCCTGAGATCACAGAATCGAAAACTCCACGGCCTGACAGTGAAGGTCACTTATCGTTTGCTGAGCCCTAGGGTAAATCTAAAGGATATTGTAAAAACCCGTTGGAGATCCCATTTGAGTGTTGGGACCGAAGCCATCCGCCCCATTCGATGGTTCTCCCTCACAAGGGCCAAGCCTACAAAGCTGGCCTCGCTGCAATGCCAGATCGAATACCGCTGCCTCCCCACCTATGATTGGCTAATAGATCGCACTTACCTGGAACAAAAAGGGCTGGCTCTCCTGTGGTGCAAATCGTGTCACACGGCGTTCCCCGCCCGGAAGATCCTGAAAACCATAGAACACATTTTCTTGCAATGCCCGGGGTCTGTTCTTACATGGCGATGGTGGGACATAATTTTGAGTCTGCTGGACACCGAGACGACCTGGCCATGGGACTGGAGGGCGATACTGTGCGAGACATGGACCTCCCCCACATCTTGTACCTTTGAGGACAACATGTTTAAAATAGGGAGGAGGGCGGTTATGTGGGCGATCTGGAGGAGACGTTGCATACACGCAATGGAGGGAGTCCGTATAGCAGGGGAGGAAACCACAGACATGATTAAACAATTCATACATCAAGAACTAACGACCCAATGGTAGAAGGTCAAGTGTCAGCTGGATCTGTGCCTAACAAAAAGAGAAATAAAACAAAAAATCCAACAATTTTCGGGGGGCTGGTTGGGCGGCGAGAACGGCGGCCGAATTGCCTCCGTCAAATGGGAGGGCGGCCAAACCCCGGAAGGCGAAGGAAACAATCAAGACGGTAACCGGGAGCTGATCAGGAAGGACTATCAGATCTGTTTCAAAGATTGGACAACGGTGGGCCAAGAGGTTCCGTTGTGGCCACCCGCAGACTTCCCCGACCCCTTCCCCCCTCATCAGCTGGCTGTGGTGGACATGCAATGGTACGGAGCGGAGTAAGCAAGACTGCAAAGTAGGGGAGGGACCAGCCTGTGAACGTAGATAGCTGGCGCCCGGCATGGGGTGAAGAGGCTCCTCCCTGCTCCGTCACAACCTGCTCAGTCAATCCTCTGGGTCCCAGAGCAATCAATGCTGGCAGGGTCTTCCCTATCTAAGTCTATGCTTTCACTCTGTGTATGGGACSCTGGACCCGATTAAGGGGGCTGCTGAGACAGGGCTGGGTCACTAGATAAGGGGTGCTCCTAAGAAGGGATGGGTGACATTAGCAGCTCCACGGGATATTGGAGGCCCAAGCTGAGTTTGAATTGACCACAGCCCCGGGGAACAACAAACAGCACCCCTTGTATTGTACGATGTATCMAAGGGACGCTGGACCCGGTTTCCAGCAGGTGCTGCTCCCCACCAATAGATGGAGCCTCCCCGWCGGTGCTAGATGTGTCTGCTCTTATCA